TACCAGGGGGAGCAGGGAAATGCAGCCAGAAACACAACATGGGGTCCTGGAGGATTCAGAACAGGGCCTGCATCTTAGCAGACTCCACAGAGATTACAGCAGGGTCTCTCTTACTACAAAAGGGACAAGCATCAGGAGGATTGGTGTAGCATGCCATTAGCATTCCCAGCTGCATGCAGAAGCTGCCAACTAGTGCCCCTGGTACAGCTGGAGTAGTGGCTGGCTCCCTGAGGTTTTTGCCCTCTTCAAGTGGCAGGAGGTCCTTCATTTTGTATCAGGGCAGCGAAATAAGTGGTGCAGAGCACAAACACATACAGAGGGTTGTGGGGTGTGGTTCAGATTTGACTGCATAGCATATAAACTAGTGGTTCTCAACCTTTTTTTGTACAAGGACCATTTGTCTCAGTCTCAACCCAGTGCCTCTCCCTCCTGACCCGCTGCCCCCCACCTGCCCCTAGGTCCCCAGTGTGTGGGACAGAGGGTGGGTATGTGGGGCAGGAGGGGTAAGTATGTGGCATGGGGGCCCCAGCAGCCCTTTGCAGGCTGGAACTCTGCCAGTCTGCAAAGGACAAGCCACAGTTTCCCATGTTTTTTTCCCTTTAAGGACAATCCGTTTTTAAATGTTGTCGATCCATTTTTAAAGTTTGTTCACAACCCTTTCATATATTCTTGTGTCCCACTTTTGGGTTGTGACTCACAGGTTGAGAAATGCTGGTGTAAACAACATGTATGGTACAAAAGAGGTGGCCTGAGGGACATAGAGGGCAGGGGCACGATGACACACACTAAAGAATGAGTGGATCAGAGTTGCCAACCCAAGGTTGTTTTGGTTTTTTTCCTGACAATCTGCAAGCTCTTTACTGACAACTGCACTTTGTTACTGACATGTTTTTACAGATATATGTTTTACATAATGTAAATATAATGCTTTGGTCAGGTTCTGCACTACTGCCAGGGCTCAGTTAGAAGGGCTGGGTTCAAATTAGGAGTTTAACAGCAACCATGGAGTGGGGGAGGAAGCCCTGGTAAGAGGTCCTTGCAGGGTACTGTACTCCTGCTTAGATATCAGGCTGCACTCCTGTGCTTCAGCACTGTACTCTTTCTTCTTAGAGATTTTACAGACTGCTCAGGTTATTTACAGATTTTATGGACAGGCATTTTTAGCTTGACTTTTTTACTGACTGTCCATAAATGTATGGACAATAGGCAACCCAGCAGAGAATAATTGGGGGTGGGGGGGTAGGGAGCACCCTTACTCAGGACTTGATCAAGACAGGAGAAAGGAGTAGGGGGTAAGGCAGCCATCATCTCCTAGAGCACATGATGGAAAACTGCCAGATAGGTCATGGAATCTATTCCCAATGTAGTTCAAGAGATCTCTGATTCAGTGCATAACAACTGTGCAGGTATTCAGGCACTGAGACAGATATCACAGGAACCAAAAGAATAATCTCATGATTGAGGCAGCTGAATGCTGCCTGGAAAACTGGATTATAACCCTGCCTGTCATAGAGTATGATGCTTAGGATAGCCATATGTCCTGGTTTGTCTGGGAGAGTCCTGGATTTTGTAGGCCATCCTGACGTCCCAGCTAGTTAGTGAAAAATGAAGCAAGTCATAGATTTATAGAAAATGAGGGTTGGAAGGGACCTCAAAAGGTCATTTAGTTCAACCCCCCTGCTCAAAGCAGGACCATCCCCAACTAGATCATTCCAGACAGGGCTTTGTCAAGCCAGACCTTAAAAACCTCTAAGGATGGAGAGTCCACCACCTCTCTGGGTAGCCTGTTGCAGTGTTTTGCTATCCTCCTAGTGAGAGTATTTCCTAATATCCAACTTAAACTTCCCTTGCTGCAACTTGAGACAACTGTTTCTTGTTCTGTCATCTACTGCCATTTAGAACAGTCTAGATCTATCTTCTTTGGAACCACCCTTCAGGTAGTTAAAAGCTGCTACCAAATCCCTCCTCAGTCTTCTCTTCTGCAACTAAATAAGCCCAGTTCCCTCAGCCTCGCTTCAGAAGTCACGTTCCAACTCCCTAACCATTTTCGTTGCTCTCTGTTGGACACTCATGAACTTGTTTACATCTTTTCTGTAGTAGGGGGTCCAAAACTAGACACAGTACTCCAGATGTGGCCTCACCAAAGCAGAATAGGGGGGAATAATTACTTCCCTTGATCTGCTGGCAACGCTTCAACTAATGCAGCCTAGTATGCTTTTAGCCTTCTTGGCAAGTCCTGGATTGGTGCCACCCCACCTGCATGCTTCTGGCCTAGCTGCACCACTGAGCAGTGACTGGAAGTAGGGGGTGCACTGCTCCTCCTGCTTGGGGTGGGGATTAGCCAGGGTGAGGAGGGGTAAGGGGGCAGGTGCCCGGGGCTGGGGCATCCGTGTGGAGCGAGTCAGGATGCCCCCCTGCCCCCGCTGCTGGTAGCCTTCTGCTCTGCTGCTGTGGATGCTGCTGAAGCCTGGGCAGTGTGTGGGAACCCCAGGCAGTTGCTGGTGACAAGGGAGACGGCATCGCATAGAGGATGCTCCCAGCTGGGTCCAGGTTTTTCACACAAGGGATGGAGCCTGGCCACAGATCTCTGTGCTATTCTATCCCACTCCGTTCTGCCGTAAGGGCTCTTGAGAGCCGCAGGGTCAGGGCTGGACAAATTCAGTGTTTTCATGTGCAAATATGTTGGACGGGGCCCTCACTGCCATCCTCTGCAAGTGTGTGCACATATGTGCATCTGTGTGGGGAAGGGGATGCAGAGGCACAGGGGTATGTGCACGCGTGCGTATGAATGTGTGTGTGTACATGTGTAGTTGCCCCTGTCCCAGATTTCCTTACTCCCCATCCCAGACTTCCATAAAAATAGTATGGTTGCCCTAATGAGAGACAAGTTGCTTGAACTAAACTCTTTGCACTAACGATGGTGACTAAGGGCATTTTTATATGTACTCTGTAGGTGGGGGGAGGTGGCACTTTAATTAGAGTGGTTCCAAGAGCCACTCTAGTTAAAGCGTCACAGTGTCTCATGTATCAGCATCCCCAAGCTTCAAAATGGCAGTGGGGGCCATTATTATTATTATTAAGGATTCCGGCTAAATGCCATGCTCCCAAAGATGATATAACACACATACAACCATAACATAAATACATTTAAGCAAAGTAACTAAACTACAAATATTATACTAAAACTAGTGCCCACCAACATAAAACATTATTCATATAAACATAATAGTAAATCAAGACATAAATCTATAATATTGTTGTACATAGATCCAAAATTGAGATGAAATCAAATCTAATGTTAAAATGTATCATGCATATCAGTAATAAAAGATATTTAACTCTAATCGCCTCAGCCTTGTAAGCAAAAATTGTGAGATGGTTTACTACATTTGGATCCATTTGCTGTAGAAGCCAGATTAATTTCTCTCTATTTGAGAAATGTATCAATTTCTGCAAGTACAGTAATAAATAGGTTCTCCTTATGTCATTACATAAAGAACATTCTAATACATAGTAGATAGTATCTTCCAAAACTCCTAGACAGACTGGGCAACATCTTTTAGCCCTTGGAATGGAAAAATCTACGTCCAGCCAGAACAGCTGTGGGCATCTGTTCGGTTCTGAGTCTAGTCAAAGAGGATCGCCATTTACTATTGATCCAACTGTAAATACCTTTCTTCTCGCCCAATCAAATTTCCAAAGAGTATATAAAGGGGCAATGCGACTAGCCCTAGCCACTGTAAAATCATTCTGCCTGGCAATATCTCATATCCTCTGGAAAACCCAAGCCTTTTCTATGAAGGAGAAATATCTTTATCTTTGAGATAGTATCCCATCCCAGAAAATGCAAAAGTGAGGGAAAGAAAAGCTAACCAGGATGATTGGAGAGGAGGGGGATTATTAATATCTTCTATGTAGCATAATTTAAGCAGGCGAGATGGTAAAAGGGGCAGGATTTTAAACCAAAATTCCGCTGCTCTAATAATAATATTAGTTAAAATAGAATCCATTCCCATCTCTAATCTCAGAAAAGATGCAGGAGTTGAGGGAGGAAGAGTCAGAAGAGCCCCAAGAAATTTGTTTGGAGGTATGTCTACATCATTACTAACAGCATAACCCCATACTTCAGTGCCATATAAGATCTGAGAGGTAACTTTGGCTCTGTATGCTGATATAGGAGCTTGGACAGATCGTCCTGCTGTGGTTTCATAAAGTTTCTTTATAGTCACAGCTGATTGGGCTGCCTTAGTTTTAACTGAGTAAATATGATGGATGTGCTGTGATGGAGAAGCTGTGAATAAGACACCCAAATATCTATAGGTTTTGACAACTTCAAGTTTGGTTCTCCCCATATTCCATGGATATTTTATCAAACGACTCCCCCAATACATTATTTTGGATTTAACACAATTTTCTTTGAGTTATTTTATCTGCAAAGATGCTCAAAAGTTGTGATTGCCCTCTGTAATCCAATAGGAGTTGTTGACATTGTGTCATTTGCATACATTAAAATAGAAATTGGGGTTGCTAATAGTTTTGGGCGATGAAAATGTGCATCCTGCATATTTCCAATAATGTCATTCATGTAAAGATTAAATAACAAAAGGGCCAAAATACAACTTTGTCTAACCCCTTTTTATGTGATTTTTTTTTTTTTTTTGAATAAGTTCACCCTTCAAGCCCCACCTAACTTGGGTCCACGTATCTTTTTAATATTTTATCAACAAATGCAAAAGGGAAGGGTCCATCCCATCATTTATTATTTTCTCCTAAAGTTTGCTTCTATCTTTACTGTCAAAAGCTCTTGATAGACTCACAGCTGCAAATAAAGTCAATGAGAGCTGTGCTTTTAATACATAAAGCGCATGTGCTACCAACCATTCAAAAATCAAATTTCAGACATTTCAAATTGAGTGCTTAAAATTACCAGATGCTTGACCTTAATTTGTTCCTCAGCTCCCCATCTTTATAATTATGTTGTGTCTACCCCTTACCAACAGGGAAGTTGTAAAGGTTATTGTCATGAAAAAAATCAGATACTGTATTGATGTGCATCAGAGGAGTTCCTGAGGAAATGGGAAGTTTTTTCTTCAGAGCAGCGTTTGAAGAGTACAATAAAGAATGGGACCATGCAGTAAAAAAAATGGAGAAAACAAAAACCTGAAGAAATGCTTGAGTGAGCAACATCCACCCTGTGCATTGAATGAGACAAGGGTCTTGCTATATTCCTCCCCCCACCACACACAAGAGGACAAATGATAACCATCCTCCTACTTTTGTAATCGCACCCCCTGCCAGTCAGTCCTTCCCACCACACAGCTCTGATTCCTGAACAGCTTTGCATGTAACCTGAATTTTGGGTGGTAGTTCCTATTATTCTGGATGTCCTCTCATTAAAGTAGCTTAATTATTTTTTATACTTATCCTGAATGAAGGACAATTGTTATATGAACTAGAATCAATTTTTTTACCCAGGCTCCAGCTTGTGCGGGCCGGGAGCGACCCAAGCCCTTTTCCGCGCTGCACGCGGGCTGTGGCCAGCAGCCCGGGCACGCCGGCTCGGAGAGGGAAGGCCGTCGAGCTGGAATTAGGCACAAACGCGTATCGGTAGTTTTAAAGATTGTTTACTTACACCGAGATGGCAGTGGTGTAGGCTGGAAAACTTGCTTGAGTTGCAGTTACAAATAGAAAAGAAAACAAAACTCGAACCTGCAGGGCACGAGGGTACGTTGCAAAGGGTTCCGGCGATGGGAAGATGAAAAATACGAGGGTACGTCGCAAAGGGTTTCGGCGACGGGAAAATAAACCTGCAGGACTCGAACCCGGGTAGAAGAGCTCTGAGGCCGGTCATAAGGGCTCACACGAAGTTTGCTAGGCTCCGTGGGTTCTTCTGTTCACTCATCCACACAAAGTTTGCTAGGCTCTGTGGGTCCGGTTCTCTTGCGCACAGGAAGGGATACGTCTGGATTGCGCTCGGCGACGGGGAGAGGCTAGAGGTTGATCAGACCTCTGTTGCCTGCTTTAAATGCAATGGGTCCGTAAGGATCCGCAGCGCTTAGAGATCTTCACGCAGCGTGAAGTCTCCTCCTCCCTTGTTCGTGGAGTCCTCCAACTTGGGCGGAAACCACTCAAGCCTTTTATACGGCTAGCAAGCCAATCACTAGCCGCCATGTGTGAATAATTTAGAACTGGCCAATAATGGGACTCAAATTAGCATACAAATGGCGGGAACTCTTTGCAATGAGCATTTCTGTGCTGCAACAAAGAAATGCACCCTGCAAAGAAAGCTTCAAATTGGCAGGAAATTCTCCCTTGCACCGGGGTTCTCTTTTGCAGCAGAAAACTCCACCGTGCAAGGAAGCTATAATTTAGCGGGAACAATTTAGCAGTGCCGAAGCACACAAAAACAAAAATCACACCCTTTGGGTTGTGACACAGCTTAACAACATGATCAAGTATCAAAACAGAACTTGCATCATACCAAGTTTATCCTTTGGGCAGCAGTCATCTATAAACACTCATGTCAGTGAATGTTATAAATGCATGTTGAAATAGCAGGGGAAATTCATTTCTACAGGTGGCAGCCAACTTTCTCAAATAGGCCCTCTAAGGGCTGCTGCCTATTATACAAAAACTAGAAAACATCATAATTAGTTTACTGATATACGAGTCTGAGTAAGAACTCTTTTCTTTTGTAATTGCTCAACTTTGATCATTTTAATCTCTGAACTCTGATATCATAATTCCAGTAGCTTTCTGGTTGTCCATAGCATCAAGACCTGCATTTCTAATGGAAAAGACACACACAACTTTTTCATACTTCCTCCAGAAATTAGCTGCTTTCTGTGTGGGTCACTATTAAGATGAGCTATTATAGAAGAGCTTTAGTACACTTGTCCTAGATACTCAGCACACAATTTTGCATTTAGCTATGAACTGAGCTGTATGATTATTTTTATTATTCTATGTATTATAATGTAATATGCGGTTTTGTGGAAACTGTGAAATCCGGGACTGTCCGCAAACTTCACAAAATCAACAACAACATAAATAAGTAAATAAATAAATAAAATAGTGGCTCCCCAGTGGGAATCAGCAGTCCTCACTCCAGGAAGGGAAGGTGCCAGCTGGAGGGGCAGCACAAAGGGTAGCAGACAAGATGGCGGCTGCCCTCTTGTCCTTCCTACCTTTGTGAAAGCAGCACTGTGACCACAGGACTCTCTCAAGGCAGCTGGGGCCTCTCTCCCAATTGGTACCAAAGGGCAACATGAAGGGCAGCCAGCAATGAAGATGGTGGCAACCCCCTCATCCCTCTTCCCCTCTGGGGCCTCTCTGTCAATTGGTGCTGAAGGGCAGGGCCACAGCAAAATGCCTGCAAAATCGGTTCTGCGAGCCATGAATGGGCCACTGTAACAAGCGCTCATCCCAGGGGCGGCCACAATGCCCCCAGATCACTCATCCCAGGGATGGCCACTCAGCCCTTGCCTAGCCTGGGTCTCTTTGGCCACTCTCCCCTTCACTTTCCCACCATACCTTGATGTTATCCTTTTGGGAAAAAAGGGGAGGCTGCCCTACAGGCTTCCTAAGCCTGATCTCACACTCCTGAGCTTAGATGTCTCTGCTCTTGGCCTTAAGAGCTAATTAGGCTCCAACCATCTCTTATACCACATCCATGTCTTGCAGGTGTTATCAATCAATCATCTCAATCAACAGCCTTCTAGGGCTATGGCCTCAATCCCTGTGACTGGGACTCCCTGCCCAGACACTTCACCTACTTTGGCTACTCCTGGGTATAATTTCCAATTATGTCTTCTCCACCCAGGCACTTCGCCTCTCATGGCTGCTTCTGAGTACAGCACCTTGGCCTGTACTCCCCACCCGGGCACTTAGCCTATGCAAATACTCCCGGGCATTTTGTCCTGCCTTATCAGGCTCTTATCTCTGCCTCTTCCTGGGCTTGGCCCCCTGGCTCTGATTTCTGGGCTTCTTTGCCCGGCCTCTGCCCCTCTCTGGGCTTCAGGGTGCTTACCGTGATCTCCGGGCTTCTGTACCCTCCCTCTGTCCTTCTCTGGGCTTCAGGTCCCAAGTCCCAATCTCTGCTGTCTTCCTGGGCTCTGGCCTTGCTCCCAGACCTCTGACCCTCTCTGCTATGTTCCTGGGCTCTAGCCTTGCTCTAGGGCCTACTGGGACCTCCTCTACCCCTAAGTCTTGTCTACAAACCTCCACTGCTGCTTACTCCAGCTTAGCTCAGCTCAGCTGTTAGCCAAGAGCCTTGCTGCAGCCCTGCTGCCCAGATGCACATCTCTCAGGGCTAGACTGCCTGACCAACTCAGGCCTAGAGTTTATATGCTGACAGCCCAGCCCCTTGCTGGTCAGGTGGCTCCCCTGATTGCCACTGCAACCCTTACGGCAGCCTCATCTCCTCTTAAATGGAGGGAGACGATCCCAATGCAGGGGAAAAGTGGGAAAGGGGCCAAGAGGCTTCCTTGGCTGACCAGAGAAATCCAGAGCAGCCTAAGGGAAAAAAGGGGGGCATATAAGCATTGGAAACAGGGACAGATTACTAAAGAGGAGTATGTCTCCTCAGCTCGCAGTTGTAGGGAGGCAGTTAGAAAGGCCAAAGCTACCATGGAGCTGAGGATGGCATCCCAAGTTAAGGATAACAAAAAATTGTTTTTCAGATATATAGGGAGTAAAAGGAAGGCCCAGGGCGGAATAGGATCACTATTGAATGGGCAAAAGCAAATGGTGACAGACAGGGGGGACAAGGCTGAACTCCTCAATGAGTTCTTTGCCTCAGTGTTCCTAAACGAGGGGCAAGACAAGTCTCACAATGGGA